TTTGATTTTTATACTTGATTTATATGTGGATACCACATTTCTCTCTTTATTATTATTATTTTTAATAAAATGCTGAAGTGGTAGGTAGATGCAAGATAAAGGTAGAAAACATAGTTTAGTGTTGTAAGAGAGCAAATGTAGATGATCAGGTGTGTGCCTGTAGACTATGTGTTAATCTGAGCTAGACAAGGGCAATAAAACATCCATGCATGCAGCAGATTTCTCTCAGAACAGGGGGGGTGAGGTTCTAAGCCTCACCTCTGTTGATCCCCAATTTCTCACCTGGTGGCCCCCCTGCGACTGTGCCTGTCTTAGGTTGTTCCTCCCTTGAGGAATCTTACCCGTCTCTGGCTAACCAGTCATCTTCCGTTTTCCGTTTACTTTTAAATGAAGCCTTGGATTTTCTTTACAGCTGTCCCGTAAAGGTGTCGAGACAGGTGTATTGGAACTTTATCTAACTGCTTATGTGGTAGTGAATTTCATGTCTCGACTGGACCACAGGGTGCCCAGATATTTGGTCACACATTGTGCTGGGTGTGTTAGTGGGTGTGTTTTGAGATGAGAGTAATATCTGAATCTCATCAGACTTCTTGAAGCAGACCACCCTAGTGTGGTGGCCCTCATCCAATCATCTGAAGGCCTGAAAAGAACAAAAAGGCTGACCTCCCCATAATCAAGGGGGAGTTCCTCCTGCCTGCCTCTTGAGCTGGGGTGTATGGCTTTTCCTTCTTCAGATTGAATTGAAACATACATTGTCTCTTCTTAGGTCTCAAGCCTGCCAGCTTTTGGACTGGAGTTTACACCATCGGCTCTCCTGGGCCTTCCTCTTGCCAACTACAGACCTTGTTACTTGCTCAGCTTCCATAATCATGTGAGTCAATTCCTCATCGAAAATCTCTTTATACATACGTACATACGTACATGCATACACACCTCCATACACCCTGCTGGTTCTTTTCTCTGGAGAACCCTGACTACTGCAGCTTATAACGATAATTAAAAAATCCGTAATAATTAAATGAGCGAGAGACAGAAGTAATCTGGGGGTCGGCAGTGCTGTATTGACATGGCAGCCCCGTGATTAAAGCCCAAGGCTCCATCTATACTTCTTTTTTGCCTTTTTGTGTGGCTTTGATCTTATGATTACAAGGTGGCTGCTGCACATCTTGGAGTTGTATCTGCATTCCAGGCAGAAGAAGACGGACAGGCAAGAAGCCAAAGGGGCTTGTTGGGGGACTAATGTGGGCGCATGGCTGGTCCCTCCTCAGCCAGATTTATGGACACCATTACCTGGACACCTCTGGCTTCTGGGGGTCTGGAGATAAAACATTAGCTTGGCATATAACTGCCGCCAATACATTTGGAGTCCTGTTATGAAGAAGAGGGGACAGATATTGGGTAGGGTACTAACAACAGTCTCCACAAATTATTAGGTAACCATCAAAGGTTGATTGTGACACTTCATTGGCTCTGGAGATGATGTAGATCCACAATCACTTTGAAATTAAATATTATATATAAGTGTCTCCAAGACCAGTACATCCAAAATTATATCACTTAATGTGACAAGCATAGTCACATTTACTGAGCATCTACTGTATGCCATGCACACAGCCAGCGCTTTCGGCATGTCACCTCTTTTGCTTCCGTTGTCTCCATTTTACAAATAAAGAGAATGAGGCTCAGAGAGACTTTCTATAACTTGGCTAAACCTGCACAGCAAGCAGGTAGAAGAATCAGGTTACAACTCAGGCCCATCCTTCCCTTACAAAACCCTTAGGAAACTCTTGCTCTTATAAGAACAAACATGTAGTTTATATGTGATTTTATATATACACACACACACACACACACACACATATATATACTTTTTATTAATGTATGCATTTAACTTTGATGCTTAGCACTGTGTTTTGCAATGTGCCAGGTCTTAGTAAATGTCTGTTGATCAAATCAGTTTGTCCAATTGCAGCCATTGAAATGGTGCTCCTTTTTCAGGATCCTCTTTAAGTCCCAATCTGAAAAAACCCGCTCATATCTGAAGCCAGACGACAATCCCATCAGTAAAATGAGAGCGCCTGCAGTTTTGAGGACATCCAGCAGGTACTGGTTGAACTCCAGTTCTGGCTCAGGCACTCCTAAGCCTCCCTTTCTTTCCAGGTATCTGTGTGCTGCATTTTCGGTCAGGGTCTTCGACTCCGCCTTCCATTCACTTATTCTCTTTTTATGGGAGCTGCTGCCCATTCGATCATTAAGTGTTAAACTTTGGTTATTGTGTTTTTTATTGATGCAAGTTCAGTTTGGTTCTTTTCTCAAATCTGCTATAGCACTTTTTATAATTTCCTGTACCTTTCATTTATTTTCAAACTTGTCTTTTATTTCGTTAAACATGGGAGAATAATTCTTTGAATAACCCATGTCTGATGATGGCAATATCTGAAATATTTAGGGGCCTGCTGGTTGTCCCTCATGGTGTATTATTTCCTTACGGACTTGATATCTTTGTGCTGCTCGCTGCCCTTAAACAACTAGTGGTGGTGTGGGGGCAGGGGAGTTCCTAATGACTGAAGAGCTATTTTAAATTAAAATCATTAGTTTATATATTTTTGGACCACTTTGGTACTGCAAAATTGGCACTATACATCCTTGAGTGAGCCTCTCCACAGTAACGTGTTCTAGAGGACAATTCTTTTTGTTTTCTCCTGCTCCACTCAGAGCCAAGGTCCCTCTCCCTGAAAACTGCTGGGTGGAAAGAGGTAGGTGAGTACATGTGCTGGTGTATCTCTCCCTGATGGCATCACCCTTTGAAATCTTGGCTTACTGCATATGGGAGGTGGTTTGCCAGACATACAACACCGAATGGGCCCCATGCTCTAATTTTTCTTTCCCTCTTCCTGCAAGGCCATCACAAACACAGCTTATTTCTTCCAGACTGGTTAAATGGCCTCAGTGCTCAAGTGACTCTAAAATTCTCTATTTACCTCTCTTTTTGAGTACTTATTTGCTATTTCCTTTCTATTTTGTCAGCTCTTTGATGCTGTTAAAAAGGATTAATCATGTGCAACAACATGGATGGCGCTAGAGAGTATTATGCTCAGTGAAATAAGCCAGGTGGAGAAAGACAAGTACCAAATGATTTCCCTCATTTGTGGAGTATAACAACAAAAGAAAACTGAAGGAACAAAACAGCAGCAGAAGCACAGAACCCAAGAATGGACTAATAGTTACCAAAGGGAAAGGGACTGGGGAGGACAGGTGGGAAGGGAAGGATAAGGGTGGGAAAAAAAGAAAGGGGACATTATGATTAACATGTATAGTCCTTCATGTAATTGTAGATTAATGATACCAAAATAAAATTTTTTAAAAAAAGGATTAATCATGTTTAATGCAGTTTTAGTTGTTTGCAGGGGGGTGAACTAGTGGCCTGTCATTGTGACCTCATCGCTTTTTTAAATCCAGCAATTTTTCTTTCCTTTGACTTCCACCCGATTCATTTTCTTTCTTTCTTTCCTCTTTAACTTTGAGATTCTTTCTAACTTCTTGGGATGCATGTGTTTTTTTTTCCAGTGGTACCATCAACCTCAGCATGCTCAGGGGAAATGAAGTGAGCATATGGTAACTACTGCAGTGAAATTTAGGCCTTTACCTCTTGTCTATACCAGATGTGGGATTGCATACATAATCACCATTTCTCTATAAAATCGACAAGCTTGGCTAATTTACTTAACTTATTTAGCATGTTCCCATAAAGAAAGTGATCCGAGTTGCATTAATTTGGTAGAAAAACCAGAGATATCCATGAAGAAGCAAATTGGGAGGGGAAGTAGGTGCCACCCACTTCCTTAATATGAATTCAATTCCAGATTGCATAGATTCTGCAGGTCCTACGACTCACTTCTTCCACTTCTGCTTTTCATTAGCCTTTAGTTCCACCTTCTTGTGCTTCATGAAATGCACTTAGGGCCCCTGTTTTGTTCTTATGGGAATATCACCTAAGGTGTGTTATCCTCTGTTTTCTAAGATTATGACCTGCTCCCGCTCCTTTAAAATTCTCTGTGGTCCTATTTAGACTTTTTACGTTTATTATTCATCTGATATATACTCAATTTCCTTTTTTTAAAAAAAAATGAAGATAGTTTTACTTTTATTTCCTCATTACTTGAGTAATGTTTCCCTGTGAAGTTTAGACAACCAAAGCTCTCCTTCAATAGCACTTTCAGAGATGACTTCTATTATCATTTATTATGAGTTTTGATAAATACCATCACAGATTTCTCTTTCCCTCTCTCTATACATGCATGTAAGCTTGTGTGTGTAATATGCACACACACATATATTCATAGTATATACCCACATATGGATGTGTAAGAGGTATATTATATGTATGTGCATATACACACATATTTATGAAAATGAGACCACAGCTATATGACTACATGAAGGTGCGAGAAAAGCAAAATTGTTCTTTACTTAAAAAACATGTTCAGCTGGGTCTGTCTCTTTAAGGTGTGGCAACATTTCTTTGTGTATCAGATAAACTTTTGTTTAGCGAAATACATTAATAGGCCATTTATCAATACAGTTATGGTCCCTGTGCAGGTTCTTACAGTAGAAAATTGAAATAAGGAGAACTAAATTGTGCTCATAATACAATAAGAATGTGAGAGCTCTCAGGAGCCACTGTGGAAAGAGGCAGAGAGGGCTCTGGAGGAAGGAGCGAGCCAATCAAATCAGCTAGAGACAGATTAAAAGCCCAGGGCAGTCACAACAAACCCACAAGGACCCAAATCCAATCTGTAGTCCATCTTTGTGACCCCGCTGTGATAGCCCATCTCCCCCTGTAGCCTCATCACTCTATTCTAAGCCATCTGTACAGGAGCTCTTATATTACCTGTTCCCTGGGCTGCTTTGTGGTATAAAGGTGCTGGGCTTGTACCCACAGTGTACTGACATTCTCCAGAAAATCACAAGCAAGGGAGAGATTCAGTGCAAGGATGGAGAACTCAGTGTGAGATAGAGATTGGAGCCAGAGCTGGTGAGAAGACATAGAAACTGGGACTCACACATAGATCCCTATTCTTAAGACCACTAGATTCCTGAACACGGCAGCCTCCTTCCCCCACGGTCCTCTACTGCCCAGTGCCCTTAGCTATCTATACTCTGGTACCAATATTACTGCCCAACTAGGATTGCACCCCCAGCCATGTGGGGACCTATCAATTCCATTTATTACTTTATCCTCACCCATTGCATGTTCTAGAGTTCTCTAGTGCAGCTTTAAAGGACTATTAGCAAATGCCATCTCTTCCTTTTCACATCACACAAGGCAGAACATCCTGAGTCATTCTTATCATCATTCAAAAAGCAATGTTTGAGGAGATTCGGTTGACTGCAGCCTCAAATGTCAGGAATGGAACTTAAGTTGGCTAAAGTCCCTCGTATACACTAAGCCCTTTACTCTGTATTCATTTAACAGCTACTACCAAGAACACAGGTGATGAATGGGGATGAAGAAACAAAGAGATGGGTAAAAAAAAAATTGTGCTATCAAGAACTCAGATTCTTTGTTCCACCCTGCTCAGCCAGTGGACCGCCCTTCCCTATTGGCCCCTGACAAGAGACTGGATATTCACTTCCTGGAGAAATTGAATGGGAAAAGTGGCTTATTGTGTCATCACCCTGCTGTGCAGCTCTCCCGTTAACCAATTCCATCCATACATACAGAGTGTCCAGCTTTTAGTAAGGCCAGCAAAGGATCACCACACATTTGAAGAAAGCCTTCTGCTTGAGAGACATTTTCGTCTTTCTGGAAGAAAAAGAGACAAAGCAAGTGTCAAAGGAAGTTTGAAAAGCCACAATAATAATAGCAGCAACTACAGCCAGTAATTAATGTCCTCAGAGATCTTAAAAGATACCGCACTCATGGTATGAGAATAAGAGGCTATAAAAAAAAGGGTGTATCTCAGAAAGAGGGAAGACTTTTGGAAATTAAATGCTGAAGTGGGATGGAAACAAAAGTTGAAATTTAAAATTCCACAGGAAGGCATCACCAAGAAGAAAAGAAACGGACAACCGAAAAAAGAGGAGAAAAATTAAAGGATGATTCCAGGAAGCCCAGGATGCAAATAATAGAAATTTTCGAGTTAAGAAAAACATCTGCAAGTGAAGGAGGTGAGCTCCAGAACAAAAGGGGTCTGTGAGCCTGTTGAGGGTTGAATAATGTCTCCTCAAATTTACGTTCACCTGGAACTTCAGAAGATGACCTTCTTTGTAAATACAGTCTTTGAAGGTATAGTCAAGCTAAGATAAAGTCAGACTGGGTGAGAGAAGGTCCTAAATCCAATGACAGGTGTTCTTATATAGAAGGCCCTACAGAGGCACAGAGTAGATAGATGGGAAAGAAGGCCATTAGCACAGAGATATAAATTGGAGTGATGCAGGTAGAAGCGAAGGGATGGCAAGGATTTCTAGCAATCCCCAGAAGCTAAAAGAAGGGGCCAGATTCTCCCTCAGAGCTTCCAGAAGGAACCACACTTGTTGACATCTTGATTTCGGACTTCTTGCCTTCCGAACCATGAGCGACTATATTCCTGTTGCCTTAAGTCACTCAGCTAGTGGTATTTTATTATGGCGGGCCTAGGAAGCTAGTAAAAGTCCCCAGCCTTATGGATGAAATCTGACCCACATGCGAGCACATCATCATGATGTTTCAGAACCCAAAGACTGAAGAGTGAGTTTTAAAAGCTGCAAGAGGGAAAATAGTAAGTCATACGTAGACTATCAGGAGTCAGGATAGTGTCGTCATCAACAGCCCTGGAAACTGGAGGCCGTGGAGCAAAAAAATTCTGTGTGAAAATGATTTTCAGGCTAAAATTCGACTCAGTCTCTCAACTAAGAATAGACAAAGGACACTATCATGTAAGGACTCAAAAAATTTACCTTCAGGGCAGCCTTCTCTAGGGAGACTTGGGAGGGTGTGTTCTTGTAAGCGATCGTGTAAGCAATAACGAAGGCGAACCTGAGCCCAGGCGTGGGCTCGCCAACACAGAGGAGTCACAACGGAGAGGACCCAGTGTGTCAGTAGCTGGTCTGGAGAGGAACGTCCAGAATGGAGCCAAGTGGGCGGACAGCTCTAGGAGGGAGACATTTGTGGAAGGAAAACAGGGAACTGATGTGTTTAACTGGCAAATATTATTCATAGGTTGGAGCACTTGGAAAATATTAGCCATTTGTACTTAGAGAACTTTTCAACCCTCAGGGAAAGTGGTCTGTTTTGGAATCACTGAGAGATGGTACAATGGTATCAAGTGAAGTGATTTAACTCCGTGATCATTTTTAAGACAGGCGATTTTTTTTCTTATCTGTCAATTAAGGAACTAACTCTGGGTGAGATGGGACTCTACTCCAATAAAGCCTAGGGTTGCCAGATTTAGCAAAAACCAATAAGCAAGCAAGGAACAAACAAGCAAAAAATCAGGATGACCATTACTTTTAAATTTCAGATAAACACTGCCTTTTTAAGTGTAAGTATGTGTCAAAAAATTCATGGGGCATACTGATACTCATATATGGTGTTTTTGTTTATCTGAAACTCAAATTTGAGTGTCCTGCCTGTATTTTCTGTGGCAACCCTAACAGAGGCTCAGTAAATAATTGTTGGACCTGTTTTTTCTTAATAACCCATTATGATCTGTCATTCAAGAGTTATCAAAACCTGTTTGCAATCTATGTTTTCAAGCTCTATAAGCTTTTGGGATTAATGCGTTCCATAAGGTGACTAACCATCTACAGCTCCAGAAGAATGAGTTTATCTGTGCTGCTCCGTCATGATTTATCTGTGACGTAAAAACAGTCAAATGAATGATTTGGGTGCAAAACCTTAAGGACAAATCCAGGTACAAATCATGGTAAACAAAGCTGATACTATATATGTACTTCTAACTTTGGTGGCTGAAGAAAGGATATATGTAATGGAATATCGTATCTGAATAAACTGGCCTATACTTGATAGAGGGTGGTGACCTTGCCTCAAGATTATGAAACATAAAGTTGCTCTCGCCCTCCCTTTGAACTCATTCTCAACGTCTTAAGAGTCATGGCTGTCACCGATC